GCTGTAAAATCTGGGCCAAGGTGGAGAGACCCCCACATCTTCCCAAAGATGCACCACACGGGCAGGCCCTTTTCCTCTCTCATCTCTGTCACTTGTCATGAAAAACACTATTTAGGTTGACGGGGGTTATGAGTGGGTAGAGGTGGTCTTCCATCAGGATCGCTGGGGCCACTCTCTGCTCCCCGCCCCCCAGCCCAGTCACCTTGGATTACGGCAACAACACCCAGCCCTGTTCCCGGAAGATGCTGCGACGGCCCCTGGGGAAGCAGGCACATCCAGACGCCCACGTGACATGTCCGCACCTGCCGATCTGGCGCAGACGTTCCCTGTCTGAGTCTCACAGTCCCGAATTCCGTCTCTTCTAACATGTTACCAGTCAAAGATACATCCTTTTAAAAAGGGAGAAAAAAAAATTTAAGACCTCTTAGATATTCAGTGTTGAAATTAGCTTAAAAATTTCTGTGTGTCTCAGAGTTCTGTTGGTATTCCTTGCTTTTTCGTTTGTCTCTTAGAATTTGCTATTGAGCTCTCGGATATAATGGTGGAGATCGGGCCACGTTTCCCGGGTTACTTTGACTGCCAGAAAACTCTTAGCTAAACTCTGGCTCTTTGGCATTAGATCTCAGGTTCCCAGGGTAAGTCTCTCTTTCTTGATGTCATTTCTGATCTCTCTTTTGTGTTTTTTGCACTGTGCCCATCTGTGTGTTTTTATGGTTAAGCTCCCTTGAGTAATGCGAATGTATATGTGTTGTACTTTCTGAGTCCTTCGGCCCAGTGGGGTTTGGACCAGCCTTTGGAGCGTGGATTGGTGAGCTTGTGTGTTCTACCCTATGCTGAAGTCTGAGTTGACTTGATTTTGAGTCCACAAGCTTGGTCTGTCCCCTCATCTGTGAAATGTGGAGGAGAGCAATACTGGCCCACAGCATTGTTGTGAAGACTGGAAAGGGGTCTGGCACGTCATTTCATTGAGTGGTGGCAGTGAGTGACTCTTGCGGACCCCGGGCTAGGGCGCACAAAGTCTGAAGGCCTGGTGTATCTTGGGCGGCTTTTCAGAGGCTGGGCTCGTCTCTGCCTGCAGGAGAGTGGACCTGGATCCAGAGCTGTGTGCGGTGGTTACCCTGACCATTTCTCTGGGCAGCCTTGGGTCAGGGTCTTTTTTTGTATCTGCATACCTGCTTCCCTGGATTGGGCAGGGGAGGATGTCTTGCTCTGATTATTTTTGCATTAAAATAGTAATTAAATTCTGATACTTGGTTGGTCGTCTCAAGTGTTGAAGGTGGTCCTTGTGCAGACACCACTGTGGCGGCTGGTGCTGTATCCAGTCATCCTCCCTCCTCTTGGCTGCTGCAGACGGAGGGAGCCCCAGCCCGAGTCCTGTGTTTCAGGGCCGCGGTGGCTCAGAGTGGCCCAGCTCCTGGTAAGTCTGCCCAGAACCTGCTCAAGGGCGTTCCTTTGGCACAGCCCCATCCCCAGCTGCCACCCAGCTTGAGCCCATGTCCTCTGTTTGGGGATTCCCTGCGGAATGCTCTTGACACTGTCTCCAGGGATATTTTTCAGATCTTCCAGGAAGAGTACCTGAGTGTCCACCAGGGAAGCCTGTCCCAGCTCTGCGCCTTCCTGCCCTGGCTCTCCCGGGGCCCCACTGCCTCTCTGGCAAGCGCTGCTCTCCCTGCCTCTTATTTACCTGTGCATTGCTGTTGTCCTGTTACCCTGTTTATTTGTATGGCTCTTCGTCACCAGAGTGTAAGGTTCATAGAAAGAGATGCTATTGCGCTTTTCTTTCGACAGGAAGGCCCCCTCCGCATCTTGACTCCACTTCGGCACAGGCCTCCCATTTTACTGGAATATGTAGGTGTTCTTTGCCTGCAAAGTGGGAACTTGACTCCTGATTCCAGAGGCAGGGCGGTGGCAGTGGCTTTCTTCCAGACTGCTGTCACTGTTGGTGGCACCCACGGTAGCCCTTGGGCTGGGCTGTGCGTCACTGTTCTGCACTTGCTGCTGAAGACACAGGTATTGCCCACCAGGCCTAGTGGGTGCAGACACAGCCTTCAGAGTCGGGCCCCAGCACACCCCCTGTCCCGTGCAAGCAGGCCTCGGGGCTGCGGGAGCCCCTGACCCAGAGAGGAGCATGGACTGTCGGAGTTGGTTCCTGGAGGGAGACACAAAGCTGAATGTTGAAGGAGTCATCTTCTGGACATAGGGGATGGCCATAAAAGTCAATCACCCCAAAGAATATTGTTCCTGCTAGACCATGGAGATAAAAAGACCCAACAGGATGGGGTCCTACACTTCAAGCACTTGTGATTGTGTGTGTGTGTGTGTGTGTGTGTGTGTGTGTGTGTGTGTGTGAGCAAAAGAGATCACCTTAATGCATGAATTGTTTGTACTTAGTAGCATATTCAGTTTTTCTTTTTAAAATCTCCTTTACCCAAATGCATCCCATTAATATATCTCCCTAAAGTACTTTTATGAGTTAGATTAAAACAGCGTCACACAAGTCTGATCTAAGAAGTGTTTTTTTAAAAAGGGAAGGACCAAGAATGTTCGTTAAGCATGAACGGGTATATTCGTTCGCTAGGGCTGCAGTGACAGAGTACATTAGACGGGGGGTTAAACAACAGAACTGTGTGTGTTGACAGTGCCGGAGGCCAGATTGAGACCTGCGGCTGGCTGCGCTGATGTGTGCTCAGCGCCGACGGCTGGAGGCCGGCCGGCCGACCTCACCCACCACCACCCTCGTACCGCCTGCCCCACACTGGCGTCATCGGGCACCTACCGCGTGCTTCTGTGAGTGAGCTGACGCGGACGGCTGCAGGTGCTAGAGGGCAGCGAGTCTGCCCGTCCTGCAGCTCTTTCTGAGCTGTGGGCCGCACCCGCTGAGCTGTGCCAGTGGTCAAGGGTTTTCGGGACTGGCGTGGCCTTGGCGTTCAGTCGTAATGGCTTCCTCCATTGAATGTTGTCCAAAAGCAGTTTCTCGCTGGCTTAAAAGCGTGTGCCGTGTTGTCATGTGCGCTGCCTGAGAGGGCAGGCCTCCCACTGTCCTTCCTGAGTACTTGCAGCGTTTTCTTGTTTGTCAGGGATCGGGTGTGTTCCTTTTGCCAAAATTTCCTGCATGGCCTGCACCCCCTCCCCGGCTTCCTTCGAACACCCCCCATATCCTTGACGTTTGGGATGCAGGCAGAACCCTAAAAAACTTGGAAAGACTCGTCTCGTGATGAGACTCTTCAGCGTCCCAGCTACCGCCGTCCACCCAATGTCCGCAAAGGGTTGGGGGGAGATGTCTCCTCTCAGACGCTGCCAGGTCTGGAAGCAGTTGGGACCTGTCCCTAACGTGGCCCTGTCCCCTTACTGGTGTCACTTTGACCGCATTCTCTGGTCGTACTGAGGCTGGTAGTGACACCTGGCTGACATGAGATTTCCCACCTTGAAGTGATTGCTTAGCCCCGTGTGCGCTTTCTTCATTTTAGTAAGTCGTGGTTTTATTTTGAATAAGCCTCTTTCAACCTATTAATATTAGTCTCAACTAAAATTAACCTTCCCCTAAATTATTCTCACACAGAAAAAGCAAAGTAATTTTGAAAGTTAAATCAAAACAAAGCAATCTTGTGTGTAAAACAGATAAAAATCACAGACTGTGGTTACGGAGCGCCTCTACAGGAATCGCTTACAGAAAGCCGATTTCCTCCAGTCTGGTTATGGAAGGAGAACGGGAAACGCCCGGGCCTTATCACAATCCCGTCCTGTCAGACAAGTCCTTGCGAGCTCGTGTAAACAGTCACAGGCAGGGGCTCCGCTCGCAGCTGGTGTCTGCGTGCAGTGTTTGTGTGTGATGGGGGACGCCGGTTCCCAGCCGCACTCGTGGCCCGTGGTTCCACCGGGCTGTGTTGGAAGCCTCACCTGCCCGACTGAGAAGGGGCTTCAAGGAGAGCCCCGAACAGCGGAGCACTGGTCTCGGGCGTAGATGACTCATTAAGGAAACAACCTTAACGAGGGTAGGTTGCAGACCGGAACCGTGAGACGGGTTGTAGCTCCTGGCGTAGAGGCAGGTGTGCTCCTTTGCCGCCTTTGGCTGCTCTGATTTACACAGCGCACTCACCTGCAGAATGGATGAGAACTCACAGGTGGGCCCTCTGGAAGACCTGAGGACCTCGGACGCCTTTAATCTAGCAAGTGCCTTTTGAATAGTTTCTCCTCTTGTCATGAACATGGTGGTCACTAGCAAAGAGGCCTTTTTAAAAATTTTTCACTGTTCTTTGCTCCCCAAGTGGGGTGGGAGGGTGGGGGTGGACCCCGCCTGTGTGTGTGACCGTGGACTCAGTGCTGAGCCACCCGTGTTTATATAGTGGATACACCCACCAGCAGCCAGAGGCGCGGTGGTGCATCCGTGCACCACTGGATTTAGCTTCTTAGGACAAATTGCCCCAAATCGCTGGTTTCTCAAGTAAACTACAGCTATCAGAAATTCACCCTCGGGGGAGTCGCGTATTTGAATGTTAATAACCTGGGTTGTGAGACAGTTCCTTCACATCTCTCTTGTGTCCCCTCTACCCCTACCTCTTCCCACGGGACGCCGACTCCAGTGATTTGGGGGATGGCTTTCCTCCACACCTGCACACAGGCTGAAGCATCCCCTGATCGAGGTGGTTCTGGCCAATGATGCCATGGCCCATAGAGAGAATACATGTGTTTTTTAGAGGGGCAAACTGAGATTCAGGGATTGTCTTTGCGGTTCCAGGCATCCTTTGGGTTTCTGTAAAGAAGCAGATCATTTGGCATGCTGCTCCTTATGTGGCGACGTCTCCCTCTGTCGGGGAGGTAGGAAGGACTTCCGCCTCGCAGTCTCGGGGGAAGGACCCGTGCTCGGAAGGTGCAGCGCTTGTAAAGGGGTGCCCTTCATAGCTGTGAAAATGGGATTGGTGGTTCCCTTAAATATAGGCGTCCCCCACCCAAAAATAACACGAGGGCTGAGAAACTAAGAAGCTTTCCTATTGTTGTTTCAGGTCTTTTTGAATAATTACCAAGCAGCCGAAGCCCACCCCCAAATGATTATCTTACGACTGTTACGTTACATCATCCGCCTGGTGTGGAGATTGCAGTGACGACGGGTTCCTTGCAGAGCCAGATGGGTGCAGACATTTCGCTTGTTAAAACCAACAAGCCCCAGCACCACGGTGTGAGAGGTGCCATTGCCATGCAGCCCGCGGTTCCTTCCCTGAGAGGGCGTGCAGGGAGGCCGGCCGTCGCATTCCCGAGGACGCCGCACTGCACGTGGACTTGACCTTTCTGTTCGCCACATGGCAGAATTTCCAGTGGAAGTTTGTTGTGAATGTAAATGAGGGAGGATTCTTTTTTAAAAAAAAAAAAGTACAAATCATGGTTCTTTGGAGCAAGATTTTATGTAAGAATGGTGTTTACACGTGGTGTGGGTTTTCTTCCACCTTCTTTAATAAGAACAGGTTTTTCAAAAAGGAAATGGAAACTTTTTAACCAACTCATGAATGACTTTTGTACTAAAATTTTAAGAACCTTTTGCCTACTCTCAGAGGATTATATAGACTCTGCAGTGGAAACTGAGCCAGCTAATTGATAAAGCTGCCTTAGTTTATTTTTAGATTACTGTACAGAATTTTTAAACGGGAGAGGTATGAGATAGCCCCCTCCCTTCCCTGCCATTGGCTCTTTGACATGCTTTTTTTTAAATCATTATTAATACCAAAAAAGTTCTTATGAAACGAAACTGATTAAAGGGGCAGAGTCTGTCGTCAGCCTGTATTGATATGCCACTCCCGTTTTGTAAATACTTACTTACCTCCTTAAATTCAGTTGCATCTGTGGCAAAATTTTAAAACTCTTTTCTTGTATTTTTCCTTTTCTCCTTTGTGATGCTCCTCTGGTCTGTCTGGAGGCCGATGCACAGATTTGGTCCAGTGTATTCTCATGATGAAAGGGAATTGGGTCAGAACATGAGTCAGGATCTGCCTGTGGCATCTGTGGCCCAGTTGGTCTTGTCTGCCAGTAGCTTCCTCCCTGGGACGTGCGTGGTTTTGGTTTTCACTGGTTTTGATGGGCTTGTCATTTACAAGTGTTCTGAAGAAGGACTACCAGTCACAGCACAGACAGGTACTGTGCCCCTCGGCGCTGTGGGCTTCTCTGGTTGCGGACTCTCCCGTGGTCACAGGTGCACTGTCAGCAGGCGCCGCAGGTGGGGAACGTGCCCCCTCACAGCTGAGCCCTTTGGGCTGCAGGTGTCAGAGCTCCAGCCCTCGTGGGAATTGGCACGAGCTGTGGGCGGGGCTTTAGGCGGCGGTTTCCTGGGCATCCAGGCTTTTCATCCAACTCCAGGTTCACCTGGCCTTTGATGCCTGACACTTGGTTTCCCACCCCCCCAAATCCACTTTGAAAGGAAGGCTTAATTCTGCCTTCCGCCGTGCCGTAAAAATACTGCATTGGAGCCCGAATCTGAAGTGGCCTCTCAGCCTTCGGACAGAGGTCTGTCTTGTTCCCTTATTCTCGGGACACGTGGGTGGTGTTGAACCACCCTTGGTGCATCCACCTCTGTTGGGCGCGCTCTTTTCTTTCTCCACACCTGCCTGGGAGGGGTGCAGCAAATGGAGGGCCCATGAGTTGGTCTGACATTTCAAAGGCAGTTAAACAATTTGGGGGGACCCGAGAGAGATCAGGAAGCAGTGAAAGAGGAGCAGTAGAGATCATTTCGTGAAGCCTGTAACTCTTCTAGATTTTGAAACCTCAGATCATTAAATAGCTTTTTAAAAGATAAACGTGATTTTTCAAACGAGTCAGCAGTGCCAACAACTCTTGTTTTGCTTTGGGCCCACAGAGGACCAGTGTTTCCATGTGATTAAGTTAAGTGGGGAAATCCATTCATTTGTATCTTGATAATTCTATATAAATATATATATATATATATATCTACAGCATATACGCATTTTCCTTTAGGTAGAGATATTTGATTCCAAATATTCTTCCTTTCTTAGGATTTTCTTTTCCCCCACAATCTTGTTGGGGTCTTGAATATTTTTAAAGCTATGTTGAGTGTCAGCCTGTGTTCCCGACATGTCTCGAACCCCTTGGTAGGGTCATGACGTCCACACGGTTGTAAGGCGGTGGTGGACCTGCTGGACACACACACACACACACCAAAGACGTATTTGGTTCTGGGCACCTCTCCCCTCCCAGGATCTCTGTGCTCAGTGCCAGTCTCTCTGACTGGAGCACTTTACTCTGTTTCTTCAATACTGCGGCTCCCTGGGAGCGGTGCCCGAGGGCTGTGTGCTGGCGTAACTCTGGCTCAGTGGCCGCCTGGCGTCCAGGCTGGCCGCGGAAGCAGCTTGTGAGGAAATTAGAGATTCTATGAATTTGTAGTATTAAGGAGCAGGATGTTGCACCAGGACTGAAGAGAGATGACTGGATGTCTCTGTACTGTACGTATCTGTTTATCATGATGCCTCCCTGCGGAAGGTATGCCTACTGTGGTAGACCTTGACTTTTTAGTGTGTATTTCTTTGACTTTTTGTAGGAAAAAAAAAAAAAAAAAGACTAGATCCCTTTTTGGAAACTGAATGCGGGTTTTGTGCCTTGACCACCTCTTCTCCCATGAGGTTTGTAGAGAGTGTCCTGTGACTTATCACAGAAATGCAATAAACACATGCAAAAGAATCCCATGAGTAATTCTTCCAGTTACCTGTACTCCTGCCCAGAAGTGAGTTTGCCAAGAACTGCTCTCGGGGTTGCGGAGGAACCAGGCAAAACTTCCCTCTGATTAAAAAGAGTGTACACCATAGAGAATAACTTTCTCCTGTTTCCCCGTCTTGATATTGTATATATTTTGACTATTTATTAGATTAGGAGGTCACATTTTACTTACCAACTGAGCCAAATGTCTGTGTGCAATTGTGTTTCCTTTACCTTTCTTGTAAAATTTTGTACAGCATAAATGAGTAAAGATCACTGTTTTTACTAAACTTTTTCAGAATTGAGGATTGTACATATTGTAGATTCTTTTTCTGTGTAATGTGTCCTACTGTTTCATAATGCTGTAACTTGTAGAAATATTGTATATTTATTTCCTGCTTATTTAATGTCTTATGTTCTGAAAAGTGTTGACCTCCCTGCTCCCCGCCCCCTGCTGTACCATTCATTGCTTTAACTCTGAGGTGGTGACTATGAGCCCCACGCTCTTCCCTAGGCTGGCCCTCCAGCTTTGGTTCCTGGTAGTTCTGGTCACGTGGGTTTAAGTTCTTGGGGTTTGCTATCCTGATGATGAAGTCGGTGTTGAGCCATCAGTGAGAGACCATAAATGGCCGGCCACAAAATTCTACAAGAAATAGCTGGTGACTTTTCTATTCCGAAAGAGCCAGCTTCTCGTGGAAGCAAATTCTATGAAGGCCAGGCCATATCTTAATTTTAATTTTATTTTAATGTATTATTGGCAGTTGGGACCGATTTTTCCATTGAAAATGTATCCCTGACAATTCAGTGTTCAGAGAAATAAAAACGGGCCCCTTTTTGGGGGTGCTGCCAGGAGTTGGTCAGGGCAAGAGGAAGGGACAGGTAAGCCAGGTTGCTCCTGCCTTGAGAGGGACGTCAGGAACACCACCTCATGCCACTTTTTGGCAACTGGTGAGTAGTTAAATTATCCCCCACCCGCTGTGTCCTGTGCTTTGAGGTGTGGACTTAATGGTCTTCAGGAGCTAATTGTACAGACCCCCACCCCCAGCCCTGAGCCGTTTGGTCCCTACCTTTGATCAGCCTGCTTCAGGTTGTCTTCCTTCTGCTTCTCTGTTGGCTTCAAGAGAGGTTGGGGGTCCCACTCGACTAGATGTTAAGATGTGAAAGCTCGCGGAAGCTTCAGAGAGACCTCCTAGTGGCCCCGTGTCAGTAGATGGTTCTAGCATCCCTGCTGATTTAGCCTGGTGCCTGTGTGGTCCACTCCCCACTCAAGTGGGTGCAGGGATGGGTCCACACGTGACGCTAAACCAGCAGAGGGGACTCCTGCTCCCAACGGCATTGTATTCAAGAAGCATCCTCAAGCTCCCAGCTAGGTAACTTGACTACTTTTATTTGGGAAAAAGACTTTAGAAGCTCTCCGAAGTTGTATGTGCAGGTTCTGTGACCACTAGTTACTGTATCAGAACTCATCAGGTACACATTTATAAATAGCACTGATCTGTCTGTATACGGACCGTCACTAACTTGTTTCCTAGGACCCAGCGTATGTAGCATTTGTATTGCGATTTCCCTGGCTT